GAATGGAATGGAATGGAATGGAATGGAATGGAATGGAATGGAATGGAATGGAATGGAATGGAATGGAATGGAATGGAATGGAATGGAATGGAATGGAATGGAATGGAATGGAATGGAATGGAATGGAATGGAATGGAATGGAATGGAATGAATGGAATGGAATGGAATGGAATGGAATGGAATGGAATGGAATGGAATGGAATGGAATGGAATGGAATGGATGGAATGGAATGGAATGGAATGGAATGGAATGGAATGGAATGGAATGGAATGGAATGGAATGGAATGGAATGGAATGGAATGGAATGGAATGAATGGAATGGAATGGAATGGAAATGGAAAGGAATGGAATGGAATGGAATGGAATGGAATGGAATGGAATGGAATGGAATGGAATGGAATGGAATGGAATGGAATGGAATGGAATGGAATGGAATGGAAATGGAATGGAATGGAATGGAATGGAATGGAATGGAATGGAATGGAATGGAATGGAATGGAATGGAATGGAATGGAATGGAATGGAATGAGAATGGAATGGAATGGAATGGAATGGAATGGAATGGAATGGAATGGAATGAATGGAATGGAATGGAATGGAATGGAATGGAATGAGATGGAATGGAATGGAATGATGAATGGAATGGAATGGAATGGAATGGAATGGAATGAATGGAATGGAATGGAATGGAATGGAATGGAAATGGAATGGAATGGAATGGAATGGAATGGAATGGAATGGAATTGGAATGGAATGGAATGGAATGGAAATGGAATGGAATGGAATGGAATGGAATGGAATGGAAATGGACTGGAATGGAATGGAATGGAATGGAATGGGAATGGAATGGAATGGAATGGAATGGAATGGGAATGGAATGGAATGGAATGGAATGGAATGGAATGGAATGGAATGGATGAATGGAATGGAATGGAATGGAATGGAATGGAATGGAATGGAATGGAATGGAATGGAATGGAATGGAATGGAATGGAATGGAATGGAATGGAATGGAATGGAATGGAATGGAATGGACTGGAATGGAATGGAATGGAATGGAATGGAATGGATGGAATGGAATGGAATGGATGGAATGGAATGGAATGGGAAATGGAATGGAATGGAATGGAATGGAATGGAATGGAATGGAATGGAATGGGAATGGAATGGAATGGAATGGAATGGAATGGAATGGAATGGAAAGGAATGGAATGGAATGGAATGGAATGGAATGGACTGGAATGGAATGGAATGGAATGGAATGGAATGGAATGGAATGGAATGGAATGGAATGGAATGGAATGGAATGGAATGGAATGGAATGGAATGGAATGATGAATGGAATGGGAAATGGAATGGAATGGAATGGAATGGAATGGAATGGAATGGAATGGAATGGATGGAATGGAATGGAATGGAATGGAATGGAATGGAATGGAATGGAAATGGAAGATGGAATGGAATGGAATGGAATGGAATGGAATGGAATGGAATGGAATGGAATGGAATGGAATGGAAAGGAAATGGAATGGAATGGAATGGAATGGAATGGAATGGAATGGAATGGAATGGAATGGAATGGAATGAATGGAATGGAATGGAATGGAATGGAATGGAATGGAATGGAAATGGAATGGAATGGAATGGAATGGAATGGAATGGAATGGAATGGAATGGTAATGGAACTGGAATGGAATGGAATGGAATGGAATGGAATGAATGGAATGGAATGGAATGGAATGGAATGGAATGGAATGGAATGGAATGGAATGGAATGGAATGGAATGGAATGGAATGGAATGGAATGGAATGGGAATGGAATGGATGGAATGGAATGGAATGGAAAGGAATGGAATGAATGGAATGGAATTGGAATGGAATGGAATGGAAATGGAATGACTGCCTGGAATGGAATGGAATGGAATGGAATGAATGGCTATGGAATGCAGGAATGGCCATGGCAATGGAATGGAATGGAATGGAATGGAATGAATGGAATGAAGGAATGGCATGGAATGGAATGGAATGGAATGGCATCAGGTCTGGAAGATGGAAGTAATGGCAGAATGGAATGAAAGGCCATGGAATGGCATTGGAATTCAGCTATTCACAGTTACAATGAAATTATTCAACAGCATACTATCAGGTCCAGTAGTCCAGAATGTTGAATACATCAGTAGAACACAGAATTTCACACATCATGATTTCCATGAAGTCACTCGAAATAGAGACTTAATCAAAAAATCAACATCAAAACCATATCAACCATATCTCAGCCACTCTCACCACCCTACCACACCTCTCACCCCACTACACCAACCCTGACCCCACTCCATTGCCGTCAACATAGTATATTGGTCACCTGTAAGCCCTCGCCCACTAGCCCAAATACCTGTCACTTCAGTAATATGCCCAAAACTTAATGCCCCTGCCATGAGGAATCCCAAGGTATCCACCCTGACACCCGACTTCGATGCTTATGACAGTTGGAAACAAAACCAACCTGTATATTGGTTTTGGAATTAATTTTTTCCATTCGAAATATGTGGTAATTCCACTGTATGTACTACAAACATATTGATATTTTTCGTAACACTAGGTATAATATGATCTGAAATAATAAATGAATCATGACAAAACAAAAATATGTGGTGAGTTTTTCCAACTGATAAGAATATAGGTGGTATAATGATAATAATATCAACAAATCATTCCATATATTATCAAGTAGGTATGTTGACTGGAAACGTTGATTGAACTATAAAACTGGATAGTTATCTCAAAATAAAATGGAATTTCCAATAGTGAAAATAAAATCAGGGAAACTGAGAGGATGCAAGAAAACAAATTTGGATGGGACAGAGTTTTATTCGTTTCTTGGTATTCCCTATGCTAAACCACCTATTGGGAAGCTCAGATTCAAGGTGAGCACATATTTTTACTTTGTCAATCCTATTCATTTTTTCTGCAACCATTCAGAATTGCTCGTTTTCACTATGAGTATATCTTAAATGATAAAGCGATACTATTCGTTCATAGAAAATCATTCGACCTGCTCTATAAAGTCAGTATGCCAGTACCTACTGAAGCTGAGTTTACCATAAGTTTACCCACAACTGACTGTCAGTAGAGTCAGTCTTCGTCGTTTTTTACAGCTATTATTTCCAGACTGTCAAGAGTTAAAGAGTACAAAATATTGATTTTCAGACCAAAAAACCCTGCTGAAACTTCGAACCCCATATAACCTTAGTGCCCAGAACACTTGTTCAGTTTTCATATAGTATAGTATAATAATTAATAATATAAATCCAAAATTATGCAAATCACTTCATTATCACATTCATTGATACAATTCAAATTACCGCGTGATAATGACAAGAGGTATCTTTCCGGTCACTTATGCCACTAATGGACCACCGCGTACCAAATATACGCATGTGTGAACCAAAAAGGTGACCAGGCGCTCGGAAAAGGATATCACGGCATTAAGACGGGACCGGTGTAATGACCCAATTAAAACTCGCTAATTACCTCAATGACATTGTGGTCCATAATATAATTGCATCAAGTGTGATGACATAGTGCCCGTGTACCATGTTCGATAAGATTCGTGCGAGAAGAGTGCCTGAGGCGGCCGCCAAAACAGGATTTTGAAGAGGTCCGACAGATCGTCAGGTGAGTGGCCATATCAACCTCTTGTCATTCGAAAACCTTCATACTTTCACTCAACTCAAATTTACAGTCCACTGTCTCTTTCTCGCCCATGTTAGTGGTCCTACGAGCCGCATCTCGATTCGTAAAATTGTCAGGTTGAATTACCAATAATTAGCAAACATTATTGAAATTTGCATAAATTTGGAATTATTAGCCGGCGGCCATAATTATTATTAGGCTGTCGAAACATCGCATCGCATATCGTACTCGCACTTGTCGCTGGTAAAAATTGGACACGCCCCCATCGAGTCTCGCAGTCTCGCCTAGCTTCTGAAATTGTTTATTGTTTGTTTACCTGTCATCTCACTCGAAAAAATAGAATAAATCAGACACTCGATGTGTCTATGATTTATGAAATTGCTCTGCTCTTCTCTAATTATTAAAATATAATCTCTATCTAGTGTTATTACCAAACATTAGATATATCTCACTCAAATTATTTCTACTAATTCTTTCAGGTATTTGTGTTAAGAACAGTAGAGACGGTATTTCGCGCTGTTTTTTATCACCATTTAAAGATAGTGGCTGCAGGCCTTGCTCGTCTCGCGTCTCACCCGCGATCTCGTGTTTACAGGTTGTATCTCGGGTTGTATCTACCTACAATAATTGTTCTGATAGCAGTCTCAACTACCTCGTACGTTGTTATCTTCGTGAATTTGTGCTCACCGTAGGCTTAGGCCAACAATTTCGATGGTCATAGATTATTTCATAAAAAAAAAAATCTTGTCAAAAATAAAAGCTCACAATGACTGCCACATTATCCGATGCTCAAACGAAAAAACTCAAACAACTCGTCGCTTCACGAGGGATTGAGGAAATTAAACTAGCAGAATTGAAAAGAATTGCTGATCAATCTGTGCATGATAAAGCGGTGCACAATAATTTAAAATGTAGGTACCGACACATCGACCACTATTTATGCTAATTTTGAATCGTTGCATTCCCAAATTGTTGCTCTACTGTGTTCTCTGGAGGAAGTCGAATTATTGCCTCATAATCAGAGATATACACAATTCGAAAACGATTTTTATCATATACAAGCAATCTTTATGCAAATATTCGAAGACGTGAAAGATGTATCTATGAATTTGAATCAATCGATTTCATCGGCGCATACTAATATAAAACTCCCGAAAATTTCCTTACCCAAATTTGATGGGGATCTTACGCAGTGGCGTACATTTATCGACATGTACGATTCCATGATCCATGACGTGAACGGTATGTCAAATATTGACAAATTCAACTACTTGTTGAGCTCATTGCAAGGTGCTCCATTGGCTCTCGTCAAGCGAACTCCTTTAACTGCCCAGAATTATTTAGTTGCCTATAATTCGATAAGGAAACGGTATGATAATAGTAGGTTGATAGGGACATCTCATTGGCGTGCAATTGAGCAAACCAGAAAATTAAATTCTTCAGATGACTCTCAATCATTCAGGCTCCTCATCGATACTTTCAATGAAAACTTATCGATGTTGCAGAACTTAGGCCATAAAACTGAACAGTGGGACTTCATTCTGTTCAACATGCTGCTGGATAGGTTGGACTCCACAACCGCTACCAACTTTGAATTGGAATGTGGTTCAAAATTACAAAGTGATTCATATTTCACCACCTTGCAGGAGTTTCTGGAAAAACATTGCGATGCGTTGGATACCGTTCATTTTAATTCTTCTCAGACAAAAAAGTCATTCACCCGATCCAAAGCTACATCATCACCTTCCAATAACATTGTCAACCACTCAAAACAACGAACAAGTTCGTCATTCGTTTCAAATTCTCATAAGTTGGAATGTCAATTATGCCAAAATGATCACATGATATATAATTGTCAAAACTTTCTCGCCAAGTCCCCAAATGACCGATATAATCTTGTGAAAATGCACAAGTGGTGCTCCAATTGCCTCGGGTCCAGACATTCTGCTTCCCAGTGTTCCTCTCAAGTGTCATGCAGACGATGTTCCGGAAAGCATCATACGCTGCTGCATTTTGAAAATTCCTCTTCTCAGACGTCCAATGCCTTCAGTGCGCCAAGAAATACGTCAAACTCTCCACATAGTTCCCAATCTCAAGGTTCTTCGGTACCTTCCTCGTCCTCTCTCAATTTGTTCACTCAGGTTCAAAGTACCGTTTTGTTGTCTACAGCCCTTGTTGCCGTGAGAGCAGAAGATGGCCAATTTTGCAATGCTAGAGTTGTCCTGGATAGTGCAAGTCAATCCAATTTTATAACCCGTAAGCTCGCCAATCGACTCGGATTACCAAAGTCTAAGCTCAAGGTTTCCATTGCTGGCATTGGTCAACTCAGCTCTCAATCTAGCCATGGCGTCTCTTGCACTATCAAGCCTATTGACATGGGACAACCATGTTTGAACCTCGATTTCATCATTTTACCTACCATTTGTTCACCTCTCCCTGGAGATACTCTCTCTAGTCAAAGTTTTTCTCATTTGTCGCACCTCAAGCTGGCTGATCCTGATTTCAAGGAATCCCTACCTGTGGATATGCTATTAGGAGCTGATAATTTTGGCTTTCTGCTCACAGGCAAGTCAATCAGTACTTCTATCAATGAACCCGTAGCTCTCGAGACTATTTTTGGATGGGTAATCATGGGTAGAGTTCCACCCCCCCCAAAAAATACTGCGCATGTGCACTCGTTATTCACATCCATTGAACCCTCATTGGAGCACTCAATTAAACGTTTCTGGGAGTTAGACCAGGTCCCTGATGTCATTCCTGTATCACCGGAAGATGTCCTCGCGGAAAAATGTTTCCAAAACACGTTTTCTCGAAATGAAGCCGGGCGATTTCAAGTCTGTCTACCCTTTCGGGATGAAGAACCGCTCTTTATTGGTTCTAGGGACATAGCCCTACGCAGGTTCCTTTCTCTAGAACGTAAGCTTCAAAATAATCCTGATCTCTACAATCATTACAAAGAGTTCATGTATGATTACTTGAATTCTAATCACATGTCCCCAGTTTCTCCAGATCACTGCCACATTTCAGGATACTACATTCCTCATTTTTGCATCCTCCGTCCAAACAGTACTACCACTAAAGTCAGGGTAGTGTTTGACGCCAGCACTCGTGATCTCAACTCAATTTCACTTAATGATACACTCTTTACTGGACAAAAACTACAGCAAGACATTGTTTCAATTCTCCTGCGTTTTCGTGTACCTGCCATAGTTTTCACTGCGGACATAAAACAGATGTTCCGGCAAATCCTCGTCTCCACAAAACATAGGCATTTTCAAAGAATTCTTTGGCGTTTCTCAAAAGACGACCCCCTTCAGGATTTTCAGCTGAACACTGTTACATACGGTGTCAGCTCGTCACCCTTTCATGCCAACCGCGTTCTTCTGCAACTTTCTCATGAGCACAAAGTAGAGTTCCCTCGAGCAGCTTCTATCATGGAATCTGACGTTTATGTTGACGATGTAGTCACAGGTGCTGATAATATATCAGAGGCCCTCGAATGTCAACACCAACTCATCAGTCTGCTTTCAAAAGGTGGGTTTGAGTTGAGGAAGTTTGCGAGTAACGACCAGGCTCTGCTCACTCATTTGCCTCCTGCCAGTTTGTTATGTACCTCCCTCTCATTTGACTCGGACAAAGAGTCCGCAATAAAAATATTGGGCCTTCAGTGGAACCCTTCCTCTGACGTCTTCTCATATAAGGTACTCCCTCTTGACAAATTATGTACTAAAAGAAATGTCCTTTCTCAGGTTTCCAGAATCTTTGATCCCTTAGGTTTCCTTACGCCCTTATTACTGAATCTGAAAAGAATCTTACAACAACTTTGGGCTATTGGCCTCAATTGGGATGATCCTGTGCCCCCCGTTTACTCAGCTGCTTGGAATAAATTTCGACAAGAATTGCCGTCTGTCTCAAACCTCGATATACCTCGATGGATTTATCCGCGAAATACTATGGCATGCTCTCTTCATGGGTTTTCAGATGCTTCTGAAGCTGGATACGCGGGTGTTGTCTATTTGAGATGCATTGATCATTATCAAAATATCTCAACGCACTTCGTATGTGCAAAGTCTCGTGTAGCCCCTTTAAAAATCATATCTATCCCTCGCTTAGAGCTTTGTGGAGCTTTGCTCCTTTCAAATTTGCTCTCTTATGCTCTCAATACTCTCAGTCAGAAAATACAGATTGATGATTTCCACGGTTGGACGGATTCAACGATTGTCCTTTCATGGGTCGTCTCTTCCCCTCATAAATGGACTACATTCGTGTGCAATCGTACCACAGAAATCCAGAATAAAATATCACCGTCCAAGTGGAGGCATGTTAGGTCGCATTACAACCCCGCTGATCCTGCTTCACGAGGTCTTTCCCCCCTTGAAATAATAGCAAGTAATTTATGGTGGATGGGCCCCGAATGGCTCTCTCAGCCCCCGGATAAATGGCCTTCTGATCTGGGACTGTCTATGCAGGATGTGTTGGAAACCGATGAAGAAAGAAGAAAAGTTACCCTCACATCCGCTTTAATTGTCCACCCCATCTCGAACCTTCTCTCCCGGTTCAGCTCTCTTCCAAAGATTCAGCGAGTAGTCGCATATATATTACGCTTCTGCCATAATTCTCAGTATCCCACAAATCGAAATAGGGATGACCTTACCTCTGGAGAAATGGAAAAAGCACTTCTTGTCTTAGTGAAACTCACACAATCAGAAGTTTTTTCCCAGGAATTTCAAAAACTCAAAACTCATAAACTACTTCCCAAGCCTCTTCAAAAGTTAACTCCCTTTATAGACACCCAGGAGGTTATCAGGGTGGGCGGCAGATTGTTGCAGTCCGAGCTCTCATTTGAAGCAAAGCACCCTATACTTCTCCCAAGCTCACATAGATTCACTCATCTTCTAATTGAACACATTCATCAGAAATATCTGCATCCTGGCCTTCAAACTCTCCAGAATTTACTTGTCCAGCGCTACTGGATTCTTGCCCCAAAACGTACTATTCGTACAGTAATATCGAAGTGCATTCCCTGTTTTCGACTCAACCCTTCCGCTCGTCAACCTCTCATGGGTAATTTACCCTCAGCCCGCGTTTCTCAGGTCAAACCGTTTGCCCATGTCGGTATAGACATGGCTGGTCCTCTCCCCATAACTCTCAAAAGAGTTCGCGGTGCCAAAACATACAAAGCCTACATTTGCGTTTTCGTGTGCATGGCCACGAGAGCAACCCACATTGAACTATGTTCAGATCTCTCAACAGATGTTTTTTTAGCTGCCTTTCGACGCTTCATGGCGCGAAGGGGAAGATGCAGTGATGTATACTCGGACTGCGGTACCAACTTTCGTGGTGCTTCAACGTATATCTCATCCCTGATGAAATCTGTTTCTTCAGATGAAAAAATTCGATTTCATTTCAATAGCCCTATCAGCCCGAATTTCGGAGGGTTGTGGGAATCACAAATAAAATGCATCAAGACTCACTTATTCCGAGTCATAGGAAATCAGATTCTTTCCTATGAGGAATTGAACACTCTATTGATTCAGATAGAATCGATCTTGAATTCACGTCCTATGTGCCCTGTGAGTTCGGATCCAAATGATCTTCAGGCCTTGACTCCTGGGCATTTTTTGACCCTAGAACCCCTCAATTCTCTACCTGATCCCAACTTAGGTGATATAACAATGTCTCGTCTCTCCCGTTGGCAGTTGGTGCAGCAACTCCATCGATCGTTTTGGGATCGCTGGCATTGCGAATATTTGCACAACCTCATGCAGCGGAGCAAATGGATGCAGCCTTCCATCCCAATAGAGCTCAATACCCTCGTTCTATTAAAGAATGAGCTTTCACCACCATTGAAGTGGCATATGGGAAGGGTAGAGCAAATTCATCCCGGCCAAGATGGTGTAACTAGGGTGGTTACCGTGCGTACAGTTAAAGGTTCCTTTAGGCGACCTGTTAGCAAAGTTTGCCCGTTGCCCATCTGCAACCCCGAATAATATTTGTCTCGGCTAGTTGTTTTCCTGTACATACATTTGTAAGTATAATCATTAGTAAAATTAATCATGTTAAACATATTCATAAAATATACATTTTAGGTGGGCGGTATGTTCAGTTTTCATATAGTATAGTATAATAATTATAATATAAATCCAAAATTATGCAAATCACTTCATTATCACATTCATTGATACAATTCAAATTACCGCGTGATAATGACAAGAGGTATCTTCCGGTCACTTATGCCACTAATGGACCACCGCGTACCAAATATACGCATGTGTGAACCAAAAAGGTGACCAGGCGCTCGGAAAAGGAATATCACGGCATTAAGACGGGACCGGTGTAATGACCCAATTAAAACTCGCTAATTACCTCAATGACATTGTGTCCATAATATAATTGCATCAAGTGTGATGACATAGTGCCCGTGTACCATGTTCGATAAGATTCGTGCGAGAAGAGTGCCTGAGGCGGCCGCCAAAACAGGATTTTGAAGAGGTCCGACAGATCGTCAGGTGAGTGGCCATATCAACCTCTTGTCATTCGAAAACCTTCATACTTTCACTCAACTCAAATTTACAGTCCACTGTCTCTTTCTCGCCCAACACTGGAGGTCTTGTCTAGAAAATACATTTCTATACATTTTACGTCCAATGGACCGACTCTGAACGTCCTATGAACTTCATAAAATATGTAGCAGCAGGATTTCCATAGAACGTTCATTGGACATTACTTCCTTATTACATTCATCTTGCTTGCTTTTTGTTCAATTGTCAATATATTATAGGCACCTCAACCAGTTGAACCATGGACGGTTGTTAAAGATGCTACGAGAGATGGTAACTCGTGTTATCAATGGAATCTGAACAACATCGAAGGCTCTGAAGACTGTTTGAATCTCAACGTATTCACGAAACAGGCGAGTATAGGTATCTAGGTACCACTATTTCCATAATCACTAGAACGAATTTATTTTTACCACAGTTCTATTAGCTATGTTTGTATGTTTGTATATTCGTATTAACGTGAATTTAACCCGCTTCAAAACGTCGAATTATATTTGAACTTCGCACAGTTATCAAAGACCGATGACGATAGCATGAACCGTCAAGATGAGCGTTTTTTTTTCTGGATAAATGATATTTTACCACCAAAATTTCAAATGTCCCGTCACCAGAATTTCAACATTTTCCTTCTAATAACATTTCACAATGTTTTTTATATCAAGGAAGACAGTAGTGTCTTGAATCAAGTATTCGTATGTATAGACATATCGATACCCGAGTTCAATAGTGTAATATCTCAAAAATCGTAGTTTCGAGAAAATCGCAATTGAAAATTCAATTCATAATAATTTGAATCTAAATTTGTAGATTATGTCTCAAGAATATAAAATAATAGCTTCCCCTTAGTAGTTTTCTATTCACTTCCTAAAATCAACAAATTGAAGAAAAACTTTCGGTGAAGAATCATTTTGTTCGGACTAAATTATATAATTGGTAATATGAAGCTCTGTGATGAAAAATCATCATTTTCATTAGGGGAATAAGTACAATAACTAAAACCACTACAGAAACATTGATATAACATAATAATATACGTATTTTCACCACTAGCTGTAGAACCGATCATTATTAACTCCTTTCCGAGGCGTAAAGTGTCTTTTTATTATCAAGGTAGTTTATGCCATTTTATGGACCATAAGTCAATAATGACAAAGCTAGAGCCGGATTCAGTGGTCTAGAGGCCCTGAGGCAACACAAGAGTGGAGCCCCCTTGTTCCTAATTATTTTTTATGTAAACTTAACAAATTTTTCGGTCAGTAATCTTTTGCAAAACCTACTAAATTATTTCAACAAATCCAGGGTGTTTCTAAAGTACGTGTTAAAAATCCAGGGGCATGTTGCTGCCGTTTAAATAAGAAGAAAAGTTTGTATAAACATTTGTCCGCAGTCATTCATTTTGAGATACAGAGTATCAAATTTTGATTGTTATTTCAGTTTATTGTGAATGAATTCCAAAATAATCGTGATATTCGGGTGAGAAACCAGATTTCACTGTGATATCACGTTTATTTCTGAATTCACTCGCAAAAAAACAGGAAGAAGAATCAAACTTTGACACTTTGTATCTCAGAAATGAATAACTTGCGGGCATATGTTTATACGAACTTTTCTTCTCATTTTGAAAACAGCAACATGCTCCTTTAATTTTTACGCGTACTTGAGAAACACCCAATGGACATATCGTCAAAAATGAAAAATATCTGAAAGAAGGTTTTGTCCCATCAAAGTTCAAAGCCTATTTCTATAACTTTTATTTTCACGCTCTCCGCAGTGCAGTTTGATGTTATATAAACACCAAATACAATCTCAGTGCAATTCCAATGGTCAGAACCTATTCCACTTTCAGTCAGCTGCTTATGATCTTTGAGGCACAGATCCGACCTGTCCTGGAATACTCTTCCCATATTTGGAGTGCAGCACCCAAACATATTCTGAAACTGTTGGATTCTGTCCAAAAAGGGCAATTCGTCTCGTGGGTGATGCCTCGCTCACAAACTCACTCACTTCTCTGAAACAATGTAAAAAAGTTGAAGATCTGGCTCTATTTTATGAATATTTTCATGGACGATGCTCTTCTGGAATATCAACAATTGTTCCTCCCTTGGCAGTCCCCGCGAGATTAACCCGTCGAGTTGAGGCTTCGCACCCCTTCGTGGTCACTTTGGAGACCTGCAGAACATCTCTTCACAATGACTCGTTCATCCAACGAACAGCGAGGCTCTGGAATACATTGCCAAGGGAGGTGTTCTCCGAGGCATATAACCCCCAGAAACTCAAGAACACCAATTGCTACCTTATTTCCCTTGGTTCTCATGATGTTTTTTGAATATTACAGGATATCCCTATTCGTGAGAACAAGAACATATAAAAAGGTAATTCTTGAACTTTCATCTTCAAGAATGTCGTATTGAAATACCTCGCAGTAGATTGTTTTTTTTTTCATAGTCCCCTTTAATGAAAATGCGGAGCCGAATACCCGCCCTCTGAGGTTACGGACAAGTATTGTCCCACTCAGCCATTGGAATACTCTATCAAGATGGGTAGTAAATGGCCACAACTGCTTATCAGGGCCATTTCGACAAACTGATATTATCAGATTGGAGTGAACAAATATAATTAAATTATTTTTCGATATTCAAGAATAATATAATCATGTTTCTACATATAGTACTAAGGGTAGAACAACGAACTCAACTTTTCCACTGAAAATATCGAAGGAAAATTTGTTCACTAGTGTTTACCCGTCGAAAGTCGAGAGATAAATTTTTTCTCTATTGTGGGGGCCCCTTTTTTGTGGAGGCCTTGGAGCTCCGGATGCCCTTTCCTGAATCCGGCACTGGACATAGCCATAGCCGAGTCCCATAGCGAGATTCGCAGAAATGGGACTCGAATCTAGTACGTATTCATCAATAACGACTTGACATGAACTGTCATAGTCGGCTAAAGCCTCGGAATATAATCTTGGTCTCTGGGTAATAATAATATTCTTCACTACCATGGTATATAAATAACTATTATTTTGAGTGTTGAAATTGACTATTTTGAGCTATATGCCATGTAACAATTCTGAATCACTGAAAATATTTCACAGTTCAAAACTGTAGCAAGTCTTTATTCTTTCATAGAGTTATAACAGTATGGAATTAAAAGGAAATGAAGATTTTTTTCAGTTCTAGTGACTAAATATAGCACCATCTCTTGGTCAGTACTGAAACTTTCAGTTGTTATAGTATAGCTAGTGGAAGCTAAGAAAATATATGAATCAGATTGCCTATACCCAAAATGGTTACTTTCATAGTTATTACATTATTGAACTGGGGTATCGATATCCAGAGAGACAGGTGACTTTGCTTCTCTTCAAAACGTTAAATTGTACGACAAGTCTGAACTATCATCCAAAAAAACTTGTTTTTTCACGAACATTTGCCAGATTCACAGTTCAAACTGTGAATAAGGCAGAGAAAACTTTGTTTTAACATCTCCTAATCAACAGAACGTGAAAAGAAATTCTAAATTGAGAAAAACAAATCACGAATCTGCGATTGAAGGTCTATAAAAATAACAAGTTTCCATCGTTCAAGTTTGAACCCATTGATTGGGTGAAAGCATCGAAAAGGAATATTCTCAAATGAATTATGAACATGAAACAATGAAATGATGGATATACATATTGGGAAATACATCAAGAAATCGTATTCTCTACGTGATAAATAAATCAATTCTTTCTCGGTTTATTCAACAGATAACAAAAACTTTCCTGATGGCTCTATATGCCACGACTAACATTGAATTATATCTGTTGATCATCCAAAAAGAGAGCATGGAAAATTAAAATCCTTTGAAATTGATAATTGACAATTCCTCTGATGAATAATATGATGTTTTTTGATATAAGCATATAACTTTTTCAACGTGGTTTCTCCTGTTGGCCGAATCCACTTAGGTACTGAAATTATTTTTGACAAAGGCCAGACGGATCTGGCCCTTCAATTTTCATAACTCCAACAGGGGAATGGTTATCACAGCTTCAGAATCGGTGATAATTTCCTTCAACTAGTCGGATTCTCCTTCTGCAGTCGATAAAGAATCATCAAGCAGCGAATGGAGGTATTCTTCATCGAAATCATCTAGTGTCACTTGGCTGATATTTTCACAAGTTTTCTCTCTGAATACACCGCAAATCATTGAACATCTCATTCCTGCTCTCCTCAATCCGCAGGCTCTATTACAAGATGAAAAAGGAAGTAGTGCTTTGGAAGCAGGATCTTTCGAAGTAGTTACTGGAATGAGGCCAGTTTGTGTTTTCTTCCAACCCCATTATTCAATACTTTCGAACGGCCACGCCATAGTTGAACCTGATTATTATGATCCCAATGAATTCTGTCGTGCAGCTGTGGTTGTTGATGCCAAATCGAATCACCTTCTTGTAACAGACTATCATTTGTGTCTTTGGATCCATAGAGTGCAAACTGGCCTCACTCAATCAAGTAACTACTTTGAAAGATCCTGCTTCCAAAGCACTACTTATTGCTTTTTTATCTTGTATGTGCAAGGTGGCTAGTGGTAGAGCCTGCGGATGCAGGAAAGCTGGTCTGGGATGTTCAATGATTCGTGGTGTCCGCAATAAAAAACCTTGTGAAAATATCAGCCAAGCACTAGACGAATCCGATGAAGGAGACCTCCTTTCGCTGCTTGATGATTCTTCATCGACTGCAGAAGGAGAATCCCCGTTGGAGATATCGAAATCAACGAGCCAGGTCCGTCTGGGCTCTCAAAATAGTTTTGGTACCTAAGTGAATTAGGCCAATAGGGGAAACCACGAAAAAAATGCGCCGTGTAGTTTCTTCTAGTCAGCAAGCTATAAATGTACCTAAGGAGAAACCAATTGAATACGCCCATTCCATTATAAATGATAAATTTAGACGCATTATGGGGATGGTTAAGGGCAGTTTATAGAGATCAAGAGAATATGCGTTCAGTCAATCAGCTCTTGAGCCTAAATTGCCAACTTTAGCAAGAATATACTCGGAACAGTTCTTGTAGGATATTTTTTCCTCTTCAATTTTTGTCTCAACGTATTTGTTCGGAAAACGTAGTTTCGAAGATATTTGCAAAAAACGTTTTTGGCTGTCATCTTGGCAAGATGGCAGCAAAAAACGTTTTTGGCTGTCATCTTGGCAAGATGGCGGTGCCGGCGGCATGATTCGAAATGTGCATTTTGTGAATTTCACTTCTAGATCCCCAAACCCTATAAACAGTTTCAAAACTCCAGGACCTATTTCCTGGTTAAAATCTCAAATGACTGGCCTATAGTGGTAAAACAGTACATTGTGATATTAATTCATAGTTTCCTAATAGGTCACCCAGGAGGAGACAGCTTTGAATCCTGTAATGGTATGGATCCACGGTGGAGGCTTCACATCAGGTTCTAACAGCTCAGAAACCTTCGGACCAGAATTCCTATTAACGAAAGATGTAGTCCTCGTAGTGATCAACTACCGCCTTGGGTTTCTAGGATTCCTGTGCCTGCAAGACACATCCCTTGAAGTACCTGGGAATGCGGGACTCAAGGACCAAGTTTCAGCTCTGAAATGGGTCCAAGATAACATAAGATGCTTCGGTGGGGACCCAGATAATGTGACCATTTTCGGAAGCAGTGCTGGGGGTATCTCGGTACACTATCACCTGTTGTCTGAAGCGTCAAGGGGTCTATTTCATAAGGCTATCATGCAGAGCGGGACAGCGTTGAACCCTTGGGGACTACGAGAAAGGCATGGCTTACGCTTCGGAAAATTCATTGATTCGGGAGTAGGTGATGAGAGAGATGCTTTGATTGTTTTGCAAGGGCTATCTTCGGGGGAATTGTTTGAGAAACAAGAAAAATATATTCAAGTGAGTTTGAAACTGATCATGTTCACAACACTAGTCGGAAAATGTCATTTGGGCTTGGCTAGTTTGGTATAGATATATGAGACAGGGCCGAGATTAATGAATCATAAATTATCGTAATATGAATTTGCGATACGAATATGGTACAATATATTCCTACTAGCAAAAACGTGATTTATTCAATCAAACATATTACATATTCATTGAATTAAACATTTATTAAGAATATGTAACAAGCAAACGTTGCAAGAGTTGGGCGTAATCTATTCAGGGTGTCCCTGAAAGGTCTGTACGAAATCTCAGCACATATTCCTGAGGTTGGAAAATAATTATCTAATTCTTCAGATCAATCGTATTACTTCAAGACATAGTATCCAGGTTTTTTTGGGATGTGACACCCAAATATGAACACTTTTCCACTGTGGCCTTCAGAGGGCACCTACCAATGCATTTCTCATGGTTCAGAATGGCCATAACTTTTTTCACGTCGAATAGAATAATATGATGTATTATGATATAAAAATATAACACACCGATATGTTCAGTATTGAAATGTACGAAAGCGCTGAACGGACATGATATACTTTTTTTATAATTGCCAGTTTGATCTGGCAATTAGCTATAATTGCCAGTTTGAACTGGCAATTAGCCATAATTGCAGTTTGAACTGGCTTAGCCATAATGGGCGTGTATACCTTGGTAGAACTTTTAACTCAAACCATGTTTATAATGATCCTTCTATGCATAAATAATGATTGACGACATAATTCGATCGAAAAATTAACTGGAATGTTTAATTTTTGGACATAAATAATAATACCTTCTGAAAACGGACCCTCTTATGACGTAGAAACCTCATCTCGCCATAGTTGAAAGAAAATACCAAACGCTCGACGGAGACTGAGGCAACTGATATACTAAATCTTTCAACTGTGATCTCGGGCTAATTCACTCTGTCAGAAATCATGTATCATTCATCTCTGTCTGGAATAGTCTTGTTTCAGTATTAGGGTTTTGACGTCACATCATCGACTCGTTTTCAGAGGTCCGAAAAATCAGGGATTTCAATAATTTTTAATAAAACGTAGGGAGCTCACAGCAAGAAACGGTTTGCGGTGGTGAGCTAATTTGGGTGAGTTCTATCGAATTATGAAATAAATTTTTTTTGTGATATAAGCCCATTGCCAGTTTGAAGTGGCAATTAGCTATAATTGCCAGTTTGAATTGGCAATTAGCCATAATTGCCAGTTTAAACTGGCATTTAGCCATAATTGCCAGTTTGAACTGGCATTTAGCCATAATTGCCAGTTTGAACTGGCATTCAGCTATAATTGCCAGTTTGAACTGGCAATTAGCCATAATTGCCAGTTTGAACTGGCATTTAGTGCTTTCGTACGAAAGTACCCCGCAAATGTAATGTCACAGTTCAAGCAATGACAGCTCTGTCTAATAGATGCGCATTACTTGAGAGGAAATCAGATGGCTACAAGACGAAGAAATCAAAAATGTCGCTGTTATCTGTCACAGCCGTAGAAAAATTATGGTGTATAACTCGCAGGGAATGCTAATTTCCCACTCGAATGATTGCAGCATTATTCGCCTACGGCTCAGGCTGCAAATTTCATTCTCGGGGAAAATCACTATCATTCCGTCCTTGTTGAACGATATACTATAGGGCTCTAACGACACAGTGGAGTAATTGAATGGCAATAAGTCATTTTCAGTCCACTCGCCCTTTGCGTTGGTCGAAATAATCGTTCGCGTTTTTTGGCGTCACTAGATGGCGATAACATGACTAGATCCTTTCGTACGGAAGCGCTAAATGCCAGTTCAAACTGGCAATTATGGCTAATTTGCCAGTTCAAACTGGCAATTATAGCTAAATGCCAGTTTGAACTGGCAATTATGGCTAATTGCCAGATCAAACTGGCAATTATGGCTAATTGCCAGATCAAAATGGCAATTATGGCTAATTGCCAGTTCAAACTGGCAATTATGGCTAATTGCCAGATCAAACTGGCAATTATAGCTAAATGTTAGTTCAAACTGGCAATTATAGCTAATTGCCAGTTCAAACTGGCAATTATAAAAAAAAAGTATCATGTCCGTTCAGCGCTTCCGTAGAAATGAATAGGAGAAGTATACTTGTATGAACTCTGATCTTGCTGAGCTTGTAACTTCTATTCGATTTGAGAGATAATGTCAATTCTCAATTTCAGAGGATTTTGATTTTTCATGCTCTCTTTTTGGATATTCAACAGATATAATTCAATTTTCGACTTGGCAAATAGCCAGGAAAGTAGTTGTTTTCTGTTGAATATTCAGAATTATAATATATGCATATCTTTATATGAAGGAGAATGCAAATTCCCTACTTCAGAAGATTTCGTTTTCAAATTCTAATCGTGTGTTCAATAGATGTAATTCAATATTCGTCGACGCATATGGCCAGGAAATTAGTTGTTTCCTGTTGAATAAACCGAGAAAGAATTGATATTTTCATGACATGGAGAATGCAAATACTCAATGTATTTCCTTATATACAGGGTGTCCGCTAAAATGAGGTCAATCCATTAACCATATATTCCTTGGACGAAAATAATATGAATTCAGAATTCCTCTCCACGTCCTGTATGATGAATGTCAATTTATCATACATCTGAAAAACTTGAATTCGAAATTATGTTAGTATTGAAAAGGAATATTCTCAGATATATTATAAACATGAAAAAATGGATACATTTGAATAAATACATTGAGAATTCGCATTCTCTATGTGATGAAATTATTAATTCTTTCTCGGTATATTCAACAGAAAACAACTACTTTCCTGGCTATATGCCACGACGAACATTGAATTATATCAATTGAACATACACGATAGGAATTTGAGCATAAAATGAATATCGTCTGAAATTGAGAATTGACATTCTCTTCCAGAATCGGATGAATACTATGATGAATATAACGATATAAAAAATATATTACTTACCAAATTGGTATGAAAATTGGAATGTATGGGAGAAATATACTAGTATACATACTCTGTTCTTGTTGAGTCGTGAATTTATCAAAAATCATCCGTATCCATGATGTTTGGGATATATGCACATCTCTTTCACATAGGTTAGATGATTTTGATTCGAATAAAATTCATTTCGAGTTTCAAACTCTCCTCAGTAACCTGAAGTCCAGTCATTCCTTCAGCCATTCTTCATTTAATACACAATTTTCACATTTTGAAACTCGAAATGAATTTTATTCGAATCAAAATCATCTAACCTATGTGAAAGAGATGTGCATATATCCCAAACATCATGGATACGGATGATTTTTGATAAATTCACGACTCAACAAGAACAGAGTATGTATACTAGTATATTTCTCCCATACATTCCAATTTTCATACCAATTTGGTAAGTAATATATTTTTTATATCGTTATATTCATCATAGTATTCATCCGATTCTGGAAGAGAATGTCAATTCTCAATTTCAGACGATATTCATTTTATGCTCAAATTCCTATCGTGTATGTTCAATTGATATAATTCAATGTTCGTCGTGGCATATAGCCAGGAAAGTAGTTGTTTTCTGTTGAATATACCGAGAAAGAATTAATAATTTCATCACATAGAGAATGCGAATTCTCAATGTATTTATTCAAATGTATCCATTTTTTCATGTTTATAATATATCTGAGAATATTCCTTTTCAATACTTTCATACCCAATCAAGGGGTTCAAACTTGAACGATGGAAACTTGTTATTTTTATAGACCTTCAATCGCAGATTCGTGATTGGGTTTTTCTCAATTCAGAATTTCTTTCCACGCCCTGTATGATAAATGTCAGTTTGTCATACATCTAAAACGAAATTATGTTCATTTACTGCACAACACCCTAGCGCGGTAAAGTATCTTATGAGAAATAATCGAATTATCACAAGTTGTTCAGGTCTTGGATAGTAGGAAACTATTGTTACATACTTGAACCCTCACAGTTTTATAACTGAATCAGACTGAACTCCCAGACAGCACAAAATATTCTATGAATATTCTGACTACGTTCAAATGTACTTATTGTAGAATATTCTGATGTTCTCAAAATGATCATAGAATATTTTCATCCTGCAACGATTATTCTTTGAACATTCATATTCTCAGAATATTTTCTTCCAAATATTCTGAGAATATTCAGAATCGTATCAAAATATGATATTATTGTAATTCTTGTATCAATATTTTTTTCATGGTGTGAGGTAGGTGGAAATTCAATCATCTCCACCAGAGCAATCTCAAATCATTTCCTTCTCCTATAATATTCTATAGGCATAGTCTCAGAATATTTGGAACAGTCCATTCCAAATGTTCAAAGAACGTCTCTAGGATATTTTCATCATATCATGGGAATATTCTGAGAATATCCAAACATCCTCGAGAATATTTTATGAACTTTCTATAAATGACATTGTGCAATCTGCGTTGTTATCGGTAAGTTTTATATAGTCATTGTCAGATAGAAACATTCATATATCATTCACAGCTTGCTTATATTTCATTCAATTTTTTTCATCTCTTCGAGCACACGAAAGAACATTCCTATAATGTTCGTGAAACATCGTGCGTACCTAGGAAGGATAGGGAGAGGAGGTAGGTGTTGGATTTTTCTTGGAGTTTTGTAGATTATAAATTCTTGGGAATACTCCCATTGGCAAAGAATACCGAAGCTGCGCCGTTCTATAGACGAACAGTTTTGTTAGAGTGATGTACGACATTTTTCAAGGTTAACGACGAAGGGATGTGCTGACTGAACCTGTCGAGCTTGTGTGACTGGTATTGCTAGTGATGGAATTATAGCAGAGATTACTGAGGAACATTTCTCGTGAAAGTATCTAGAGAAAAGTGGAAGGACGCCGATTTTTCTACGGTATTTCAATGGGGTCAAAGAGTTAGTGAGAATGGCATCACCCACCAGGCAAATGGCTCTTTTCTGAAAGGAATCT